AGTATTCAACAAAAGCATCTGTGAAAAAGGCTTCGTCTCCTACGATGGCCTTTGGAACACAGTTGTTCTCATCAGACCATTGCCTCAATGCTTGGATGGTGGTTTGATCTATGAGGTCTTTCTGCGCCGTAGCCCAGAGAAGATTTGTGGCACCATCAAGAACAAGTAGAATGATATACTTGTTCTTGTGAAGTTCAACCTCACAATGATCAGCAAAAACAACATCACCAAAACATGAAGCTCTAATACCGGAGACTCTGGCTCGTGGCGGAGGTGCCACTGAAGTGTTACAAACACGGCAGTTCCTGACAACTGATTCATACTTCTCTAAAACAGAGTCAGGAAGCTTCAACATAGAAACACGTCTACGAAACTGAGTAGGACTCATATGGTAGTGCTTCACATGAAGCTTATAAAGCTCTACCTTGTCCTCCAGTCTCTGTAACATCTTCCTATATGCCGGTGTCATTGCAACAACTTCACTACCAGGTAATGGGATTGAAATCCGCCTAGGCTCAAGAGCGCCATCACCTGGTTCAAGTGGTTCATGTTTATCACTTGATGGTCCTTTTGATCCTTTAGGAATTTCTACAAGTTCACCTTCTGGCCTCTCAGGTGGTTCTGAGGGAGCATACTCCTCAAGATCATCACCCTTTAAATCATTCTGAGGCTCAGATGGTTTTGACTTGTGTCCTTTCCAAAATGGATCAAAACCCTTGGAAGTATACCGGAACTTTGGCGGCACTGGCTTTTCCGCGGCACTGGATGGTGCACCTTCCTTCTCTGACGAGAAGCCTGGTTCCCTGTCCTTTGCAATGGGAACCTTCTCTGAGGAGGAGCGCACCACTGCATCGGGATCACCAATGCCACGGTGCTCAATGCCAGCCTTCCTGATCTTTAGATCTGGAATTTTGGCATCTGGCTTAAATTTAAAAATTGTTCTACCACGCCATTCATAGCCAAGTTGTAGGTCCTTCCATTTTGCCTTGCGCCAATCATCTGTCTTCTTGATTTCTTCTCCTCCTGCTTTCTTCTTGATGATTGTCAGTCGCAAGTCTTCCAGCAAGTCAGTGTCTACAGGACAGGACTTAGTTGCTGGGAAAAGAATTTTCCTGTAATCCTTGTGGTGACGTATCAGTTCTCTCTTGTGAACATCTACTTCCCAGAAATCAACCACAGGATATGCATGCTCAGCTTCACCTTCATCACTATTGTGTTCAACAGAAATATGGCCATATTCATAGTGAGTGAGGTGAGAGTAAAAACTCTTCTCACGCTGAGTCTGCCAACGCACGTCAGACAGATACCATGCAATATCTTGGAAGTCCAACACAAGATGAGTACTGGCTGCAACCTTCAACTCCAAAAATTTGATACCAAGAGGCACCGATGTCAGATAAGCATGTTGAGGTGTCAGCCTGAGTTCAAAGCCTAAGTTCCTCATCTGTGGCAAGCTCATAAGCAAAGGGACTTCTCCTTCTTCCACTATGTCGAACTCTGTATGGTGGATCGTCCATGCACGATCATACATATAAATCACCAGTTTCTGAGAGCAAGTAGCCTTCTGGGAATTGGCAAAGTAAAACTTGCTCTTGGTAGACTCAAAAGAGTACCATAATCCACAATCTGGGTGATTGTCGACATAGTTGCAAAAATGGTCGACTGCTCGCCTTGATCCCATAGCTCTAGTGCATCCAATGTCCAGGATTGCAATAGTTGGCGGGAAGCGATTCTCAGTCAAAAATGAAATAGCCTGCATCTCCTTCACTTCTTCCTCAGCGCTCATAAGCGCAAAGCCATCAGCGCTCATAAGCGCAAAGCCATCAGGAGCCTTTGTGAGCATCTCCTTTGACAACGAGTACCTCACAGGGGCACTCATGTCATCGAAGATCGTCTCACCATTGTTGACCACGCAGTCAGCTTCATCTTGGCATGAGGTCATCATGCCTGACAGCAAGTCCACCTCACTGTCATGGACTTCAGCTGCTGCTGTCACACAATGTGCAAAGAAACCTTGTTGACCTCCTGATGCTTGTGAAGTTCTTGAAGGTGCAGGTAAAGAACGTGGCTGTTGTTGATTTGCATAGTTTGCATCTTGTTTGCCATCTCCTTTATCCTTTCCTTTTCCTTTCTTGCCTTTTCTCTTGCCTTTTCCTTTTCCTTTGTGGGAAAACCATGCTTCTTCAAGCTGTTGCCAAAAGTCATTGGCATCATCATATTCTCCTTGAAGATAGTCATTCATATCCTCGGCAAGAATGGCATCATATGCTCCTTGGTTTGACTCCCAAGTGTCCTCATAAGGATTCTCTTCAAGGTATTCATCTGGAAAAGTTGTCTGTTGCTCATCAGCAAAATGGCCTTTACCTCGTCTCTTTCCTTTTCCTTTTCCACGAGGTCTGAAGAATCTGCGGCCTGATCTTCCTTTTCCTTTTCCTTTCCTTTTACCTTTTCCTTTGCCTTTTCTGGCTCTTCTTCCTTGGAATCTCCTTTGGAACCATGAGAAGTTTTGATCATCATATACCCAAAAGACATCGTCCAGGGCATCTAAAAATCCTTCAGTTCCATCTTCTTCATCTTCGGCCCAATAGCCAAATGTACCATCGAGTTCTCCTTCGTCTAGTACGAGAAATGATCTTCTACCTCCAGCACCTGTCGGCTGCATCAATGGATTGTCTACTGAAGTCTTTGTCGTGCAGAACATCTCGATGAAAACTGTCCTCAGCTCTGTTGTAGTGTATTGCTGCAGGTACCTGCCACGATGAGTCATCAACGAAGTCAAAGTGTTTCGCTGGTCCTGAGACAAATCTGCAAGGGACAGCATGAGTAGGGCAATGAGATTCTCTCCTAAAGGAAAATCATTCTGATGAAGAATTCTCATATTGCCATTGACATTCTGCATGATTTCCTGAATCCTTTCTGCCGTTGGTGCTACTCCAGTCAACGCTGCATCTGCCTGCATCTGAGCAAGGACTTGGGGATGTGCTTGAGTGACTGGTTTTAACATGTCCATCCAACTGCTCATAAGCCTTTGGAGTAAAATCTGGAATCTTGTCATCCATTTCATCATGTCAGCTGATCCTCGATTGAATCGCACGAATTGCATAAACCTGTATAGGAATACATTGGTTGATCCTTTCACGAAATATGGTCGTAGTACTCGTTTGAAGTAATCTACTCCTGCTCCTGGTGGCTCATTAGCCTTCAATGAATCTCTGTCTAATACACGTTTGTATACTGCTGCTTCTCCTTCTAATCTGTTTCTCAAAGCTGGTCCTCTCTTCTCTTCTTCCAGCTCGGTGATATCACACCAATCGTCTATGGCATCCTCATAGGAAAACCATGAAGTCTTTCCATCATAAGATGGGGGCACCTTTGTAGTGACCTGTGTTGTCATTGCTATTGCTGCTGGTTCTCTTCTCACATGCCTATTCACGTAGGCTGCTGGCTCATAAGCCACATCCGCATCAGGCTCTTCCCAGTCGTCAATCCAATCCATGGCCGTTTGCCCACAAGCAATTCTATGCCTAGGAAAGGAGCTCACCTGGGTCTTCCAGGATCACTGCTCCGCTACCACTGAAAGAGTGACTAGGGCGTACACGGTAGAGGTGCAGACCGCTAGTGTCTTTTATGCGCAGAGTCTTATCCTCTTGCTCTTTAGGTCCATTGACCCTCTCTTGAGCCTTGAAGCAGTCAAGCATGGACACACTATATCAGCTGTTGGAGTGGAACCCTGTACAGGTAGGCTCTACTTTTCAGGGGGGGGGGGCACACCTACAACTACTTTCCGGGGGGGGGGGGGGGGTACGACTACTACTACTTTTTCCAGGACGGGATTCTGTGCTACGAGAAGTAGTCGTGGCAGAGTCCCCCTCAGGACGACTACTTTTAAGAGGGATTCTGTGCTACGACGACTTTTAAGAGGGATTCCGTGCTACGGAAAGTAGTCGTGGCAGAGTCCCCCTCCCGACGACTACTTTTAAGAGGGATTCTGTGCTACGAGAAGTAGTCGTGGCAGAGTCCCCCTGACGAGTACTTTTAAGAGAAATTCTGTGCTACGAGAAATAGTCGTGGCAGAGTCTCCCGGACGACGACAAATTTTTCCAGTTCGAAGGGGGGGGGGGCCCGACTACTACTACTTTCTCGGGGGCGTCCTGCTTGGGATTGCTCAAAGAATGGCTTCTGAACTGCCACACAACGAATGTGAAACTGGTCGAGGTGGTTCAAAGGAAAAGCTCTGGAAGGTATATATGGTCAATCCCAATCCAAACTGCCCGAATCATTCACATCAATCAATGCCTCTTTTTGGTGTCGTGACCATGAGAAGATAGAGGGATCTTGGAAAGTTCCCTTTGGGACCCCAAAAGCGGTGCTGCAGCTGATGCATCTTGGTCTTGGTATGTCCAATCCCTGCTGGTCTGCGGTCTGCGTGGACGACCCAACCTGTCCCCCCCCAAAAAAAGACAGTCTGCCCAAGGTCTGAGCCAAATCCTGCAGGGTCCGCATGTTGCCAGCACCTGAGATCTCCGAGGCGCCGATCGGTCGATCGTCGGTTTCTCCTCGATGGGATCGAGGCGCCGATCTACTCAACTTCCCACCACGGCAAAGGCCCGGGGGTGAACGAAAGCCACTGCGAAGCAAGAGCTCCAACTAGCTGAGGCTAGCTTTCGTGAACAGGTGACCAAATGATGTGTTTCTCTCTATTCCACAACAAACACAGCAAATGAAGCAGGCGCGAATGGGTAGGGGAGATAAACCGAGAGCAAAACTCAAAGATCTAGGCTGGCGTGAAGCTGGTTGAAAACACAACATGATCATGTACAGTAAGAAATTGTAAGAATCTTAGGCAACTCTTCCAAGATCTTCCAAGTATATATTATATACACATTGGCAGCTCTTCAAAATATAACAAAACTATTGGACACACCACAAAATAAAATTAGTGGCTGTTTTTGTTGACCAATTTCATGTTGATGCGTTTCTCGCATCAGGGCACCCAACACCTAGCGGCCTGGCGCTGCTGCAGCCAGTTGTAAGAGAATCAAGGGCTCCTGCGGCCCACACCTCATTCTTGCAGCCCAGATGCCCTTGGAGGAAAAGTTGCCACTGGTGTAGACCGCCAAGGCTTCCGCATAGTTGTCATCCTTCAAGAGCTGGCTGATGAGCTTCACGTCCCGATTGATGTCCTCAATTTCCGATACCCAGTTTCTTCGGCGTCTTCTACCGGCTCACCAAATCACCATTCCCTGAGCATTCCCCAAAAAACCATGCCCAGTCAGCACCTGCCCCATCTTCCGGTCAGACGCTCTCTGACGCGGCGAGGGTCTGATGTGCTGAACAGTTCCCTCTGAGGGGTTCGAGATCGAAGTCTTCCTTCCCGGTGGAGGAAAGCACCGCCTCCACCGGGCGCCGTTGCGCGGCTCCCGCCGTTGCCGCGCTCCTAACCCCAACCAGGCGGCTCCGTGCTCCGTCACGTCGTTGACCTCAGGGTGCGGTGCGGAGGTTTGCGGACGTGTGTTGGGCGAGCGAGGAAAGGTAAGGAGTTGCCCCAGGTCGTTGGTCTTTCTGCGGAAGACAGAGACTCTATACAGACTATATAGATGCATAGATCTATGTTCATCTATATTAATATGTATAGCTTCTTCACAATGCAGAGAGAACTTGACGAGGTTCTTGGCTCAGCCATGCCTGGCCCGCCAAAGGTCACTCGAACTTCCTACCAAGAGCCCCAAAGTCACCCTCCAACACCGTGTTTTTCTCATAGCTATGACTCTCCGCTACTTCACTTACATAGTCACCACTTCCCCTCCTCTACAGTCGCTTGCTCTCCAGATAGCTGGCTCTCTCCTCCAAGCGACAGGGCAGTAGAGGCCATCGGACAGCTTGGGGCAGCTCTCCGGCGGTGTACAGGCACCACCCACTGCCACTGAGGGCAGCAAAGCCAGCGTCACGGCGACGAACCAATGGGCCATCATGACGAGGTGAGGACAGCAACGGTTCACTGGATGGGCGTTTGGTGTTCTTGGGCCTTCAGGCAGCTGCGTGTTTTTTACGTCAGTCATGGAGTCATGGTCTGAGACGGGTAGAGTCATGGGTCTCCACTGGTCTCCACTCTGAACATCCGGTTCCAAGATGTTCAAAGACTGCAACCGATGACTTTGAGCGAGCTTTTGAAGTTCTAAGACAACCCCCGTATCTCCCATCTCTCTCGTGATCCACTCATCCTGCACCTGCTAAGCTGGCTGCCGATGTCTCGATGCTCGACTTTGTCTCGGTTGGTCTCGCCCAGCTCGGGTCTGTCCGATCAAGATGTATAGGGAGACACCCAACAAGTGGGTGTTAGTCAATGTTCTTTCTTCCGGGGTCGTTGCCTGGGAGGTCTCTCTATCTTAATGCACCTCCATATGCTTGGCCCAAACACCACAAGCAGTTCGTTCCAAGGGCGTTTTGCGGGCGCACCCTGGGGTGCGCAAGCGACTAGCCAGTCCAAGTTGGTCAAACCGCAGACCTTGCATCATGCAGGTGTCATACTATCATATAATTAAATCTTATCAATATACTAATTGATCCAAGACTACAAAAAATCTCCGAGCAAAAGCAAGGAGCGGGCAAGGAAACCTGGCTCCTGCTGCCAGATGGGTCGGAGGGGTTGTTTTGGTGCCGAACTCGTGCCGGGTCAACAAATCCAAGCAAAGAAACCGAAACACAATCAAAATACAATAAGTATTGAAACATACCTGGGTCTTCAAACTGTGCAAAATTATGCACTTTCATCCCAAAAACTAGCCAAAAGGCATCAATCCAGTGTAGGGAATTACTGGCTGATCCTAACGATTCATGGTAACCAGTGCGCCGAAAACATCCAGTCAGGTTTGAAGGTCTCTAGAACTGGGGGCTGGAAAAAACCCGACTCTGACAACACTTGGACGACACTACACGTGGCCCACTTTCTTCTTGACTCCTTAGCTTCCGGACAGGGATGAAAAGGGCCAGCACAGCAAGCACCTGAGGAACCACCGCAAGCTCCTAACCCCGTGAGGTGGTCACCATCGCCTCTGTCGCTTGGGCAACATGGGTTTCTCCAAGATCTTCTCCCCACAGTCTGAAAACGTCACCGTAGGTCACCGTAGTCAACGTAGACCGTTTGAGCTTGCGAAGCACAGAAACATCCTCGCAGCTGCTAAGCTGCCAAGCTGGTGCAACAGGGCCACTCACTTGCTGACAGGGCTGACAGGCCAAAGGCCGCTCCCGATTTCATATGACATCCCAAGGTCGACAGGCGTAGGTCTTCAAAACAGCTTAGGTCTTCAGTTTAGGGCCGGTTTCATCTCAAACCCTTGCTTGCATGGCTAATTTACATCATTCTTCAAGGAAAATCCTCCAGGGTTCCCGGACACGAAGGGCCATCACGACTTGGTCCGCTCAGCACGTGCCGAGCTGGGAGGTCACCGCGCACCGTGTCGCTCGTCCAGAGGGGGTCGCTCGAGCCGTCGGCACGGACGAAGCGGCGGAATGAAGCGACTCGTCGGCGTCGGTCGCACGCGGCGGAATGAAGGAATACCAAGGGTGCAACCAGGAGTCATGTTGTGCCCATTTTTTTTATAGGTTACTGTCCAAAATGCTATCAAAATGCGGACCACCAAGCCTTTTAAGAGCCCAACATGCACTACTCGGTATTGGAGAACATCATGTTCCAACTCTGTCCACCTTGAGAAACTCATAGAGAAGGGCTTGGTGAGATGCTCGAAGGAGTCACTCGTGAAGGACGACTGGGGGGGGTATCCACTCCGTTCAAAGCGTCATCCATGAGGACACATGAGGATCCATAAAAAGAAATTGGGGGACCTCCGTGCTGAGCGTGGAGGGGAGTTGATCTCAACATGTACATGGAGAGCTTTGAGGATTCCAGCAATCCACCGTAACACACCCCTTTGCATCTACTCAAAAAAAGAGAGACCCCTTCGGGCCTCTTAGCATTTTCAAGGACTTGGCCGGCCCACTTCTTTCTGATTCTTTCTGAAATTCTTGGCCGCCCGCTATGTCCCATGCACATCGGCCAACATTCAATCCCAACCACAGCGACATGGACGCAAGCACCGATGCATCTCCGCTCCCCCTCGACGCACCGTGTCCTTTTCGGGACGTGTCGACGGCCGACGGCCATCGGGAAGCATTGATTCCAGCCCAAGAGCATGGAAGTTCCTCTTGTGAGGTAGATGTTCGACGGAGTTTCTACATGTTTCAACCGCGCTGACTTCGCAATCCAACATCAGGATAAGGTGATCCCATGGATATGGTTCACAAGACAAAATGAGTTTTCAAACAGAACTGCTAAACACCCGAAATCATGGCTCAAACATGCAAAAAAAGCACTTTTGAGGTGAGGGGCCTAAAGAGCTGCTTGAGTCTGTAAATGTTGAGTCTTTCAAAAAGGAACCTCCACCTCTGCGACCATCCAAATATTGAAAATCGACGCCTCCACGACCCATGGCACAGCGCAAAACTTGCTTCGCGCATTCGTGCGCCCGTGCGCGACCGCGTTCGTGCACCCGGTTTGCCCGTGCTGGTCATGCAGAACATGGTATAAACTTGAATCAGGCACCCCCCGTGTTCGATGTTTTGATCATGCCATCTGGCCCTTCTCGACAGTGGCGACTTTGGTTCCTGGCATGCAAATCCTCAAAATCCAGCCATCTCCTATTCTACTGAGCTCCCCTTTGATGCGACCTCCACATCTAGGTATAGCTACTAAGCGACCCGAAAACACCTGGAAGCTTCACCCACCGTGGAGTGCGCGACCCGAAATACCTGGGGAATCTTGGAGGTGACATGGTGTGACATGGTGTGACTACTTTGGGTCTCTTCGACTTATTCGATCGTTTGGATCTATCTGGCTCAGAAATTGAAACAACAACAAATGCATCGCTGCTGTTCGTTGGACAAGGGGTGGCCCCCTTTTTGAGGCGGGATGAGTATTTTGGGAAGTTCTTTGTATCTTGTCTATGTCTCCAAGTGCTTTTTTAGCAGAGCTTGCCTGCTGGCCGCATCTGTGACACGCACACGACGGTCGGCGGTGACGTGGAGCATGGGTGAGGCACATGGACTTTGGTGGCCTCGTCAAAAAAGGATCATCAGCCAAGCATTAGGCACAAACGGTATGTCACGCGACCGACATCAGCCTGACATGCTGACGAGTAGAGGGTCCCCACATGGTCGAAATCCATGACTCAGCCCCGAAAAGTTTGACCAGAAACAGTGGCTCCGTTGTTGTCGCAGCCTGTGACAATGATGACAATGTTTGGAGGGGAGACTGAACAGCCCAAAGTACTCCATGTATGGAATTCCATGGAATGTCTGCCGACATTGACCATGTTTCAACCACGCCGATGTACTTAAATGATCTTAAATGCATACATGGCGTGCATGAGATGTGTTCAGGGCACTTCTCCAGTCTCGTCGAGGAATCATGATGGGAAGTGCCATTCTCTATGACTCCAAGCACTGAGAAAGAAGGACTGGGGTGGGTTTAGAGGATCCAAATCCTTCTGAGGAGGTACGACTGAAGCCATGGGTCTGGCTTTCCCCCCTGGATTTTAGACCCGGCCCATCCAGTTCATTGATTGGATCTGAAAAAAACGCCTAGAGATGACCCGGCCGACCGGCCCCTCCTGGGCTGACGGTTGATGTCTTTTTCTTCCCCGATCGGTGTCTGAGATCCCCGTGCTTCGTGTCTAAGCGTTTCATGCCGTGCCTGGTGACCCATCTTTATGCTTCTTAGATCGATCATCCGTCGAGAAACCCCGGACAAATCACCGGACGACATGGCCCTCAACTCAAAGCATCTTTACGAGTCGGTCATCACTCCAACTCCCGCCGGGTGCAGAATCCGGGGGCCGTCAACACCGATGGTGGAAGGCCTGGGGCGACCAGCCGCACCAGCCGTGGGTCATGATGCTCATGCAGATGTGTACTTTAACCCCCTGGCCCTCTGATCTATGTCCTTTCTTCCAGGCGGTCTCCCTATAGTCTAATCCATGTCGCGTCTTCGCAGCAAAGGGGATCATCCCAAACCTGAGGGCTTGTCCCAGATCTGCTATGGACTCGTGGTTCCGACTCGTTTTTGGAGGCCACGAAGGGTGAAGAAGGGAGTCATAGTGAGGGAATCGCCCCAAGCTTGGGGCCTTGATTTTTGGAGGCCACGAATTGTATCTGTGGTTATGGAAAAAGCCTCAAGAGCGACCGACAAAACACAGCCGCTCACGTTGTTCCTTGAGCCAAACGCAGGTCGTATTGACCGGTTCACCTTTCTCAGGTGTTCATGACCTTCATGAAAAGGTATGCTTTGGGTCGTGCGTTTTTCCATTCACACTCCCCCTATGCTGGGTCAATGAAACCAGCATACCTATGGGGATCCACCGTAGGTTTTTTCTTCCACGGCTTCACCCAAAAATTCAAAGCTTCCAGCCGATCGCGAGTCCTCGCCATCAGAATTCAATCCTGGGGGCCCCACTACTGGCGTGTTCACGCCCATCCAAACAGGCAAATCATCAGCCTGTGGCGGAACTAACCGCTCATCCTCCAGCGAGACCCTCCAAGCCTCCTCATTCGGATCCTCCGCCCTCGATGAAGCGGACGGCCCGATCTCTCCCCTTTTCAAGCATCCAAGGCGCCTTGCCTCATAGCCGCTCGCGGGGACACCCTCCAAGGTCACATTGACTCGTGCAGTGATTGCCGTGCCGTCATAGGCGCGTGACATCTGAAATGAAGTGCCAGTTAAGGCCTCCACAGCTTTCCGACCCCTCTCCGCAGCATGCGAAGAAGTGCCGCCATCACCTCCATACCCTTCACGGGGTTGAGATCCTCCAGCTCCAGGCCACAGTGGCATTTGAGCCTGCGAAGACATCGCTTCCTCGCCCTCCACAGTGCCAGCCTCTGGGCCAAACTTCTCGAAGAAGAACGTGTAGCCACACCA